CGCTATGCAGTGTGTCATTCATTCACCATGCAATGTATCATTCATTCACCATGTAAAGAAGTGTTTCAGAAAGATACCATACAAGTAGCTTTCCATTAATGTGTTTATTGTGTTTGTGTGTTTGTTTTTTTTTTTTTTTGGTTTTTTTTTTTTTGGATTTTTTAAATTTTGGGGTGGGGTGGTAGTTGTCCTTTGTTCATATTTAAAGGATGCTCATGAGGTTCAAGATCTGTGCCCACATGTTCACCATAGTTGTGTTTAACATATCTTATCTTTAACCGTACATGTATGTGTAGTTTATATTTTAGTTTGGATTTCCTGTCTGATCCTCACACATGTTGACGTGTACATGTATGTATTTTTAGCCCCTGAGAGTACATTAGTTTTAGTGCTCATTAACGTGATTATTCTGCTAGCTTGAAGCAGACAAGAGATGGATTTGTGCTCATAATGGTGCAGAATTTACTTCCTCTCTTTCTTAGTTAATCTTTTTATGTGGACGGGAAAGACTGTTCATTATGTTACACTAATTATGTTGAAGTACATGTACATTGCTGTGGAAGTATGGCACAGCAGGGCTTGATTGTAGCTTGGAGATACATGGACAGTAGATGTTATCTGTGACTGGTGACAGCCCTCATAGCAACCTTTTATTAAGATTACAATCTGCCAGATTCCCCCTCCCCCCAAGATGGGCAGAGTTATCCAATCAGTTACATCCTACAATACTACAGAGCTGGGTCTAGAGATGAGCACGGACTGAAAGTTGATTCTGCACGGTATCATTTTCTTAGTACCATTTTTAAAAAGATTTCTAAAAATATGAATGAAAAAGATATAGAAAATTTATCACAGTTATTTATAACAAGAATTAAATAATTGAAAGGTTTTGTAAATTAAAATCTATAGTCTGGAATATTCTCCAGCATTTCTTTGATTCTGCCTGTGGTATGTACATGTAGGGTTTGCATTCTTACATTATGACATATACATCGGTGCAGCAAAGTACGTGTACATGAATAATGGAGAAGCATTATCTCTACAAATGTAATGCAGGATTTATCAAAAGTTGCAGCATTGAAGACAGAAGGCCTGAATATACTGTACATGTACATGTACATAGTCCTAGTTGAACGCATAATAAAGAAAGGATCAATCCAGTGTACAAATGTAAGTACGTGTAAGCATGGGTTGGGTTTGAAGCTTGGTTGCAGAGATGATAGGCCAGGGAGGAAACCATCATATCAACCTGACTTTAATTATTCTTCTTATGATCCAGAACTCTGTCAGCCCTTCTTCAAACTCTGACCATCGGTGATGTCAATGAACCTGATAATGATGGCATGACTGCTTTACACTGGGCAGCATTCCACAATCGGCCTGAGCATGTACAGTTACTCATGCTGCGAGGTGGAGACCTGTACAGTGTCGATGTAGACGGAAAGACTCCTCTTCATTGGGCAAGCCAGGTGCAATAACCAGTTTCTTTACTGAAATAAGAATGCAGTTGAGGGAGGTTTGACATAAACCAAACAACTATAGAAGGCAGATACAGTGTTGCTGTTTGTTTAAAAACTCAAAACGATTGTACATGGAGTAGTTTTTACCTTCTTCATATTTACTTCAGAAAATTCGAAGAAACTTTGTCTGAAGAATGAGCAGGTCAAGACAAAACATCTAACCATTTGAGATGATATTGTTAATGTTGGATATGATCATTTCTTGTACTCCAGCAATGCTATTTTCACTTCGTGGGTCTCTGTAATTTTGTAATAGCACTGAGGAACCGACTCCTCCTTGAAATAAAACTCTCATGATTAGATGAGACACTTGGTGGATTACATTGTTGATTTGCAGAAGTGCCTGCCTAAATACGGAGCACAAATTTGAATACATCTGCATTGCAACTGACTTTGAACGTGTAGCATTCCTCATTCCATTTGCTTCAGCTGTCTCCTCAAGGTCTCAATCAACCACATTAGGATGCTCTGTCTGTCATTCCCGCATCCTGTATTTACTCAAACGTGTTTGGAAAGCTTGGTTTCCAATTCAATTAAGATACAATGGTTTTTGCAGTGCGTAGCCACTGGAAACTTACACTTGTGCTCGAGGGTTGTCTTTCATGAAGTATGTGTGAATATCTGAGTTTGCATTGACACAGACATGTAAAATTCAGCAAGTACTCAAAGCATCTACATTTGAAGTTGTACATTACATTAACAATTTCTTAACAGTGCAATACGTAATTCCTGTTTAGTTAATGAACTTTTATTGATTCACCATAGTCCAAATTTCGTGAAAGTACACGTGTGTAGATGTACTGGATTGGTGTCTTGTCATGCTTGTTGAATAAAACTGTTAATTGGAATATGGGAGTGCGTTGCTTCAAAGGGGGGGGGAACAACTACGTGTGCATGTATGAGAAAGTTCTAACATTTTTGCGCATTAAATAAATAAGGTATAAAAGTCAATATGATATACATGTAGACTTTTTTCCTGTGATGTCACAATCGTGCGGACTGTGATGTGTCATGATGGCAATCTACTTATTCAAGATAAACTAGTCAAGCATGCAGCGTTCGCACATGTACTTGTACGTGGTTGAAGCTGTCTATAAGAATATGTATGCAATCACCGTGGCCATGGCGGTCCACATGTGGTGGTATTGTTTATCTTTAGCACAATCCAGTCACGTGGGTGAAAAAAGTAGTGAATGTTTTTTTGTCAAGTTGCAATTGTTTTCACCAACAGAAGTTGCTGTGTTATATTTTGTTTGGTCATATATGGGTACCGGTAGTTATATTTCATACTTCGTCTCATTCAACACTTCATCTTGTGATGACACCCTAATGTTTACTTGTTTATCAGAATGGTTGCCTGGCCTGCTGTTCCATCATGGCCAAATGTCGCAGTGGAGGTGCTCCATTGATCAACATGTTGGAAGGCTCAGGCAAGTCCTGTGTACACTTAGCAGCAGCAGCAGGTTATAGCAACATCTTGGAGGAGTTTGTTGATGTTCCTGTTGTTGATTTTGAGGTCCTCGATCCAGACGATAGGTGAGAAATGAAAAGAGACTACACTGTCAGGTCCAATTTCATCCAACTCTTCTCAAATAAGTTATTAATAAAAATTTATCAGTTTGATAAACTGATTGCCAAAATTTGTTTGAAAGAGTAATTGTAGTTGGCCGCATGCAAAGTCACAGTTGGCAATTACATGTACACCTGTTAATAACACCTGTTAATTAACGATTGACTGTAACTATTGACTGTTGCTTAGGTAGAATGCTATCCAAACTACAGTTAGTGCCAGTTGGTATTTATGTAGTGTCACCTAATTTACTGGGAGTATACATGTACTTACAAATTGACACCATAACAAGGGAAGCAGCATTCTGCGAGTGCTGTGTTTAATGAATGTTGACAGGCAATATGTGACCCACTCTACAAAAATGAGTCTCAAGTCACTGGAGCCACTTTTGAGTTTTACTGTGCATTAGATAGAGGAATTTTTTAGCTCTTTATTTTGATGTGTCACTCAGTTTGGTATGATGAAAATGGATGTTGTGTTGATTAGAAAATGTTGAGGATTTTTGTTGCTTAAACACTGTGGAGCATTCAAAGGCCTTTAATTCAAAAGTGGCTCTGGTGACACGTGACACATTTTTATAGAGCATGGTTTTCAAAATCCAGACTGGCAGCTAGTTCAGAGGTAGTCAATGAAAATAGTTTGGCAGAGCAGTTTGCTTGAGATTGCAAAGCCCATTGTATCCAACATCTGACAATGGAACTCTTTTGGCTTGAAGACATCTGTTCTGAGTAGCAATTACTAAGTGCTTCAAAAAGTTTAATAAATGTAGAATTGATGTCAAGAAGGGTGAAATAAAGTGTGAATGTTAAGATGAAGTTCACGTACAAGTTAAAGTGATTTCTCTGTTTTCCTCAGGACACCTCTTCATTGGGCGGCTGCTTCAGTTCAACTTGAATGCGTTGAGATCTTACTACAGTTAGGCATTGATCCCTCCCCCCATGATGTCAATGGGGGTACTCCTCTTGACTATGCTAAGCAAACAGGAAACCAAGAAGTTATCCGAATTCTACAGCGAGCAGGGGCTCAGTTTGGTACCATAGCATCCGTATCGTCGAGAGCATCCCAGGATGGGGATAAGATTGGTGAAGGAGACAGAAAAGAACCCTGGAAGAAACGGTTTGGGTTCATCAGTGAGTGGTTTAACCGCCGGAAAAATGGTCTGAGGTACAAATCCCCATCGGAGGAGTCAGACGGACCAAATGGTACCAAAGAGTGGACAGTGGTTGCCAAGGCAACTTCTGATCATCCAAACTATGCAGTGAGATACAGTGAGGCAGATTGCCACAGTGATCACATTGCTGGAAGCTCAGAGGAAGACTTATCAGAAGAGGCCCTGCATCGAGATGTTGTTGGCAGGATGAGGAGTGTGCCTCATGGAAGCCAAGAAGATCTACAAGATACCACGCTCAGCAAAAGAAGCATGAGTGAAGATCTGAGCTATACAAGAAGGAACTCATTCCCTGTCAATGGAGATGGTTTAACTGCAGATACCATAGATACATGTAGGTCCTCACGGAGAGGGTCCGATAACATCCTCAGAGCAGTATCACCTATGCATGTTGATAACATCCAGCTTAAAGGTAACATCCCTGATAAACACAACTTGCTGCCAACAGTCAGTCCTCTGCCCTCATCAGTTCTTATAAAAGGTCCAGGGTCATCCAATGAGGAGGTCCTGTCTTTAGGTGAGGTGTCTGTGCCATTAAGGCCGTTATGCCGAGACCTACCAGATGCTGACACCGTACAACGCCATGCACAGGAGATCCTAGATGCTCAAAGAAGTGAGAGTTGTAAGTCAAGATTAAAGATACCTTTGTTGTATTCTTATACGTTTGATAGAAAGTGTACCTCCAGGGCATGAATAACATACTGGTACCAAAAATTTGGAAGAAATCCATTTCAAGGTTATTCCAGGTCACAGAGGTGAATAGCAAGGGAAGTATGACTTCATTAAACAGCTTTCTCTTTTCTAGGGTTGAGCTCTAGTAACAGCGGCAGTCGTAAACCAATACCAAGTCTGTGCGGCCGAAGTTTGTCTCAGAAAAATCTCTACATCTCAAGTGTTCCCAAACTGGCTCCTTTAACATCAAGGCCACCAGTGTCACCAGGAACAGGTAGGAACTGGTCTGAGACAGGTGTGTGTCAGTATCCATCTACTCACTATACATTAATATTGCTAGATGTCATTTTTCACAATACCTCAGCGTAAAAAACATCTAGGAATGTGCCAACATTTTACAAAACACGGTGTTGATATTTAATGCCCGGACATACATGTACCATAACTCTGTCTATGCCAGAAGATATTTAGTGACATCTCTATCGGTACAAGTTTTGATTCAGTATGTGAGCCTTGACCGCAGTCGTTTGGTACGCACTCACCACCTAGGTGTGCAAATTGATGCACATATGACACGGAGCACACCGTGTAGGCGCAACAAATTTAGCCTGGAATGTATGTTTATTGTCTTCACGTGCACACTGAATGTGTGCAAGAACCCGGCTGGAAAACCTAGAACCACCTATCTTTCTTTCGCCAGTGAGGTTGCACTTCAGCTGAGGACGGATTGTAGATCAACTTTGATTGACTGTTTGTAGAATTGTCTCATTTATGTTTCAATGTGATATTTGGTTTTGGTCAGGAGAATCCTTTTTCTCTCTGTCACCTCAACGGACGACAGCCACATCTCCATCATTACTGCTGCCATCAGACATGCAATCTTCTAGCATGCCATCTCATTACTTGCCATTCAAACAACGATCTCTTTCAATATCCTCAGATGCTAAATAGTAAGTTTAAAAATAGCAACACTACAGAAATGCCCAAGAAATATATCCAAAGTCTTTCTTTTAGAAGTCAAGTGTTATTCATTTGTGTGAATCATTAGACAAGGGCGTTTTGCAGCTTGTTTTACTCAGTCACAAGGAACCATCTTACACTGAAGTTGCTTTGATTTCTTCCTAGTGGTTCATGTCCAACAATCAATCAGAAGGGTCTCGCCAGTAAGACCAGCAACTTGAAAAGTTCTCGATTGGAAGCGCTGCAGCCAATTCAACCACACGATACAGGTAGTCAACAAATGTCTGTCTATGATAATCTAAGATCCTAGCGAGAATACATGTACCTGATTTGCAAGAAAATTCGGATATAATGTCCCTGGAGCCACTGTCTTGTTACTCATTCCAGTAATGACAACAGACAGAATTTCTCCAGAGTATACAGGTGCTGATTTAAAGACTTCCGAGAAACATCCTCATAGTGTATGGCCCACATTATCAGAGCTTGTACAAAAGGAAAGTACAGCTGAAGTTGAAATTTAGAGCAGGAAAAGATTTTATCTCTTATGAAAAAAAATCCATTTGCCATTCAACAGAGAAAAGTGAAAAGAAAAAGAAAAGGAAGAAACCAAAGCCCCTGACTGCTGCCAAATTCCAAGGTAAGTAGCATTGCATATTCTACTTGGGTTGTTCATTTATACAAGGAAATCTTTTGAACATTTCAAGTTAGGGGGGACATTGTAAGTAGGCGGGGGGGGCTCATTATGGTTCTTATTATGCAAGGACCCATCGTTGGTGACACAAAATATCTTAGCACCCATCCCAAATGTTGACCCTGTAAACATCTAGACCTGGCTGTAAATTGACTTGTATCAAAAAGTCAATGTCTTGCGGCAGGTTTAATTAAAGATTTTATTGACGTTTCCTGTAACAGACAACATTGACTCTGCGGACTTGACTAGACCTGCCTCAGCCGAGCCAGCAAAGAGTCACCAGTTTAGCCAATCACTGTCCACAACACTAGAAGTAGCAACAGCTTCTGTAAACTCTATAATCAAATCCTGAAGCTCATCACTTGTCTCAAGTCACCTGCAAACATTTCCAAGTCAAAACTTTGATTTGCATATGCCATTAAAAATGGAAATTTCTTGCAGACATCACAACTGACAATAAGCAAACTGTAGATGTGCCAACCACACTTATTGTACAGTAAGAGTGGGCAACATTTTCTCAGATACATGTAGATACTTAAAGGATTTCTTAAACCCTCTCCACATACGTAATGCTAACAACCTGTCATTGAGTGATTTTTACATGTAATGGGAAAACTTCCCAGCAGATAAATTTCCAACTTCAAAGTGTGGAAGTTTTTCTGGAAAAGGCAAAAGTAAATAGAGGTACTGGAAATTGTGGGACACTTAACCCTAACCCTCCTCAATCCTTCACCTGTTGGAGGATTGAGGAGGGTTAGGGTTAATGACACAAATTTGCATCGTGGGAAATTTGTGTTGCAATAAGGGTATCTTTATCTTTCTTTAGAAAACACTCTGCTGTGTATACAGAAAAAGAAAACTTCATTAACTGTCCAAATATTGTAAATAGCTCTGTTGACTTAAGAGATGATTTTTATATGTATGTATATATATATGTATACAGGTGACTTCACACTCGGCATTGCATGGTTGTACACTGATACGTAAGTCTTAAAGAAAAAAAAAATTCTCTGCACAAGGAAATGTAAAGTGCCATTGATTTTATAACACTCACCAGATCAACTATATTTTGGTGCAAATGTTGTGTGTGTGTATTTAGAATGTTTTCTAGTCAAGTGCAATTATCTTTCATCATGTTTAATCAAGTTTTTAAACTGCCACATTGATGAACAACTCTGCTTTTCTAGCCAACTATTTATTCGTTTATGTTTTATTTAGATCGATAGAGGACTGAACATTCTCAAGTGAGTCTAACATTATTTAAACTGTGTAGAAAACACTTAGTCAAATCATGGAGGGTTTTTTGAGGAAAAAACAGTTAAAAGGCAAATTATTGAGATTCTTATTGGATATTAATTTACAGCTCAAGTATTTTTGTAAAGTATTAATCAAAAATGAGTTTATACAAGCTGCCTTTTTTCTGATTTCCAATCTTTCATAGTCGCACCATTTCCCTTTATACAACTGATATTTTGTTATGCTTATTCTCAGCAATCCTACCAAGTATATGGGCAATATCTTTATCAGCAACTGTAGAAAAGATAGGGAAATTCATTTATATTATTTATTGCTTTTTGTAAGCATCTTTAACAGTAGTTGAACACAGTTTCCCTGAGGTTTCTCCTACATGTATGCATGTAATTAGAGGACAGGACAGTTTCTGAGTTGTGCAGGTTGGATGAAAACCCAGGTGATTAGTGGTCCTGTAATAACAACCCACTCAGTGTGGGAACTAGAAAATGGAACTTCCATACTGATCCTAACAAGTGTAGAATTAGGATTACAAAGGTTGGAGGACAAGGATGTAACCATGAAGAGAAGAAGTCAAAATAAGCTTTTTCTCTTCCACAGCTCAATATTTTCTAGTACTGGTGCAATAGTAACACAATTAGATTTTTTATTGGCCAGAGTTGTAGGTAGTTGAAGGCCCTTTAGTAACGTTTTATTGCCAGAGTATTCGAACAAGGTATTCCAAAGCGAACAACATCTGGTCGCCAGGATTTCTGATGTGATTAAAAATTGACAATACCTGTCGCATCTTCTGTGTTTTTATGATCAAGTTTGCCATCTAATAGTAGAGGGCGCCCTTTGTTAATACATGTACGGCACAATGATCTTTGTTTTTGTTTTTTTCTAAGTAAGCATCAACACGGGTTTAGTACACGTATGCCAATCTACGTGTGTAATACATGTGCGTGCAGTACTGCGAAGTGGTGAAGTGTTAGGTTGTTATAATTTGTGTGAAATATAGAAGATTTTATTTATTTTAATGAAAAGGCTTGAAAAATGTCTCTTTTGATCCAAATGTGAAATGGTTGACCCAAATGGAAAACAATTAAATTGATGTATGAATTGATTTCGGGATATTTCTGTTGATGTCATTGGAAATAAATTATTCACATAACTGACTTGCGAAGTTAAAGAATGTTAGTTCGTATCATATTGGAGGGAAAGCACAAATCTGTGTCCTTTGACACAGTTTTGAACGAGTAATTCCGGTGGCTTTTGAGAATGTCATTCTAAACGCCGAAATGCGTTCTAGTATGACCTAATTTTGTGCGTTGCATGCGCGTTCCATTGTAAAGGACCTCCTCTCTCGCTGCATACCGTTTAATGGTTGATTTTTACGTGTATATTAAGTCGTCTCTATGTCACATGACGGTCCAGTTCACTCTCGCTTAATTTGTACACTGGCCGTATAAGGTTGCACTGCTATATTGATCTGTATAAAATATTAATAAACGACTGCCGGCCTAGCTTGTGCGACTCCTCTCCACTAGGAATGCGCACACAGTTTGGATGTACAGGCTAGATGCAGTGAAGCCGTGCTTACAATGCAGTAAATATTTATCATATATTGTTGGATTCGTTATATTTTGCAGACACGCGACTGAAGCGGTATATAGCCTACGCTGAAATCCACATGACCGCTCGCTTTGCTCTGAATTCGTTCCGCCCCAAAACTCCCTTTCATCCAGTCCAAGGAGCGTTTCGTTTCAATGAAAATTGAAAGTGCCGTTGGCTATTCGAATCTCCTCTTGCAGTTTCTTCCGTCAAAAATGATAATTACGAAAGGGCCAGCAACAGTCATCGGTTGAGAATATGCAAAAGATCGCCCCACCGGATACGGTGTTATTACACGCTATCTATGTGTCATCCTTTAGGCCTATATAGCCGGCTCGTAGCTGTAAAAAGTGCAGTTGACCACTTCGACAGGGTCACCCTGAGCATCAATGCAGTTGCTGGCAACTACAAGCGCATGCGTGCTGGGCAGACAGAGGAGCGATCCGTTATTTGGGCGAAAATTTGATTAAAAACAATAACGTTTCATCGCTCAGTGCATACGTATGTTTGATTCCATGGAAATTGAACGGGTCCATGCTGACGATTTAACCTTGTGTTTGGCGAATCATAGCTGTAAATATCGTCAACGAGTTGCTTCAGTCAACAGAGCTTAGCGTATATGAACCTGGATTTATGCTATTTCCATTTGTTGGACTGCTCAGTTTGTTTTGATTGCTTCACTTTTCTGGCTACTACAGCTGCAGGGGTGTTTCAATGCTTCACTGATCCCCCAAAATTGCACTCAAAATATTACCCCCGAGTATCACTTTGAGTGGGGGCGACGGAGTTCATAATAGTACAATAATTGTGGGTCTTCGTTGAGGTGGATTTTCCTGCACTGCGTGTGATAATAAAAACATAATCCTGTAAAATCAGTGGGACAAGTACAGCCGAGACGACATAACATCATGAGCGGCCAGCAGTCATCGACTACCCTGTCTGGTGTTCCCGTCACCCCGCAGAAGCCCGGCCGGCATCAGCCCCCTACTTCCCCCCGAAACAACCCGGTGGCCATGGCTGATGCCAGACTTGCCTCGCCTGAAGATTCCGTAGTGAATAACGTCAGTCCGATACAAGCCAAGATACTGGAGGATAACTTCCAACAGAATAAGAATATGGATGAGATAACTTTGGAGATTGTTGCCGCAGAAGCTGGCTTGTCTCCCCAAGACACAGCGGTGAGTAGAACAGGATTTTTTGGCAGGGGAGGGGGCGGTATATATGCATAATGTAATAAATATCCAAAGATTGTTTGAGAGTAGATGGGGGGTGTCGTTTAGAGAATAACTCTTGTGATCAAGTAGGGACGAACCAACTTTAGTCCAATCGATCTGTGAATAAGATGGGATTGAATCGGGTTGAAACATGGTCGGAAGGCAATTAACTATAGCTCTGACATCATTGTCTCACTGGTTTGTTCTATCTTAAAGATGGTGTTTTCCTGTACATTCTGCCCGTAAACACCTCATACTTGAAAACAAATTTTCTTTGTTCAGTGCACTGCCATAAATGGGGTTATTTGATACAGAATTTCCATCACATATAACTCCATTGTTTGAAGTAGTCAGCCTGAAATATGTTTTCAGCGGCACAGTTTCAATCTGCCATATCCGCAACCTCAGTTCCAGCTTACTTTGCATCCAAACTTCTGCGAGGTCAGTTATGAGTAACTTCCCCTATATTATCCGATCGCGTTTGTCATCCTTGTTATGCTGTTCTTTCTTAACCACACTCGGTAATATCGCAATCGATTCATCACTCTATTGATGACTTCTCGGTGGAGTTCCTGTTCACATCATCGGCATGTTTATATGTGATTTTTGCTTCATGATTGCGATATAGGATAGGGACGTCAAAGTAACAAATACAGCCTTGGCCCAGTCCAAGTAACTGATTCATCTTGCTCTTTTGGGCCTGGGAATTAGACTTTAATCAGTCTTCCAACTCCACAACTACTCACCGTATTTATGTCATCAGCACAAGACTTGTAAAACACCATTAGGATAGAAACGAGTCTACTGTATGACTTAACTTGAGCGCGTCTTTGTTCTCAAGTTCTCAAAGTTCAACGAACCGAACCTTCATAACACGATATTTCAGTTTGGAGGTATCTTTTTCGTGCAATATGATCCCTCACCGTCCTCTAATGACATTCTGTGTAAACTAATTGGACATTTCTCACGGCAAGTTGGATGATACAGGGTTATTTCTAATCTCAGATTAAGTGTGAATAACCTCCCAATCGGCCACGCCCACGGATAGCTTGTTTTCATCATTCAAAATGCAATTCTGTAAATCTGAATCAAATTTAAACATGACACAATGTATTTAACATGTTATTTATTTATTAACCCTAACAGTCCCAAACCCTCCAGTTTCAACACAATTTTACATACACCCCAGGGGTTTAGGGTTAATGGACACTTCTTTATTGAATGTGATTTCCAGTCCTGAGTTTTTTACTCCACAAAACCAACAGCAAGCCAACAGTGTTTTAAACCCATCATTATACAATGTACGATTTTGTTTGAGTGCAGGTTTGTCGAGCTTGTAGAGTATTTCCTCTCGATTAGTATTATTCCTCCCTTACTTAACTGAATTAACTGTCTTTATCTGGTTCTTTACACACACTCCAACGCTTGCTCCTCTATTTACGGCTATACACCGACAGAAATTCACGCCATCTATCTTCGCTTCCCCATTATCACGCTTAATGTCGCATAAATTAATTCAGTTAATAGCAAACTGACCATACACGTTGATGAAATGATGTAGACTAGGTAGCGTTGATACAAATTATGCTAATTATAATGGTTCTTTCTCAGCTGGAAATAAGTTGTTTATTTCACATGCTACTAATTTTGTCAAGCCTTAAAACCATTTCGTGTTTATAAACATCTTTCTTTTTTCTTTGTTTCTTTTTTTTTAGAATATTGATAACGGGGCTTGTAGCCTTTTAATACGAGTCCATAGTAATCATTCTATGCTAATTATCGGCATGTAGATTATTTGTGCTCCAGTAATGCCGCGTTGTTTCACGCTCGTTTGTTTTGTCTTGTTCGCCATTTGTCCTATGTTAGATTGTATGTTTGTCTTTGTCCATAGGTTGGGGTATAACTTTAAACCTAAATGTTGTCATCTAATTTATCAAATGTATAATCCTATTTTATGTAATTTTACTCAATTTAATAGCCAGATATGTTCAGTACTTTGTAAAGAATGACAGCATTGAAATAAATGTTTTATCATACCCGCCTCCACATCGGCATGTTTGTCGGTATTGCTTCCCTTACCTTTCTAGGCCAAGGACCATTTTTTAATACTTAGACAAGTAATCCTTGGAACGTGTCATACAATGCATGGTCGTTGCTTTCGGACGTTTTTCTCTCCTCAACGTCATTAAATGATTCTGAAATTACAAGGCATGACCTTTGGACATTGTCTGTCTGCATTGTAGCTCTATGTGGACTCCTTTACCTTTTCTTGTATTACCATGGAAACAGTACCATTCGACAGACTTTGGAAGAAGGCAATTTATAATTAAGTTTAAATGAATCTAGAATTGTGATAGCGAAGAGGATATTACTATATTAGGTGGGGAATCAATCATATTAGGATGACATGCCAAGGGCTTTAAAGGGGGGTCCGAGTTTAAAACTCACGTCCACCTGGATAAGGATAACAAGATATTCATGTATGGATAAAAAAATTAGCATTGATAATGCACCCTCATACTAATTTGCATCGTTTTTCCCATCTTTATTATGATTTACCAGAGGTGGTTCCAGCACAGAAGGGCTTTATGGAGACAAAACGAAGGCCTGAATCCCAACAGTCGAACCCTAGAAGAATTATAAAGTAATGCTACACGGAATGCTATACACTCATCAGAGGATGTCTAGATTCCTGAAGAAATGAACAGTTGTTGACCGCAAGGAGAAGTGAGTCCCCCGTCTCCGTAGCCTCACGTCTTAGAGGACAACGGCACCTTTAGAGTGACTTTGGAATCGCTTTGAAAAAAAATGGGGTTTTCAAGTTCTTGTTTGGATTAGGCCGTACCCCTTGTCGATTTGACTGGAATGGATATCTCTACCGTAGAAAAATATAGAAGACGAGCGATCAACTCTCAGGTTCAATCTATACAAGAGGCTATATTTATACATGTTTCATTTTTGGTATGGTACTTGATGGGTCAAGACATGACATGGCGTTTTCTGCCTGCAGATTCAATTTAAAAATTTACGAGACCCAGACAGGGGTGGACATGCCCCGCTTTGTTCTTTACACTTATTCCATCAAGACAGGCGAGGTATGACTGATACCTGGCCAAAACGTTTATCATTATATCAACTACTTACACTTTTGAGAAAACTCTCCCTAGTTTAATTTTATTCAAATTAATCAATCGAGGTACGATTTCTAAATGTCCGTCAAACTACAAAGTTGCGGAAACATTTTTAATTGTCATTAAAAAATCACCGGGAACAAATAGAATGTTAGGCCTATGCCTGTAATATTCCATCAATATTGCCATCAAACAGACACAACTGTAGTATAAAATTAATTATGATTTGATAATCGTAGTAGAGGCAATAACGACATTACGCTCGAAATGGAGGTTCACACTGCATATATTTGTTGAGTGTTTCATTGATATCAATATTTATTTTTTGGGTTTTGTAACATACCTCACATTTCTTGGCTGTAACTATTACTGGGAATTAAAGGGAACACAATGTGGACACTTCTGAGTGGCGAGCCTCAACGTTAATGTGAAGAAAGGGGAAATGCTTCAGTTTGGACTGAGATCGATTTCATGTTAGATTATTTGTAATTTAATTTAATAAGCTGATTGCATGTTGATACTGATGAATTTGCATGGATTAAAAAGGAAACGTGTGAGTGAACTCAATTACATCAAAAGAACCAAGTGTAAGTGATTCTGAATTTGACTTCGCGTTTTTTATTACTTCGGGTAAAATGCAGTCAAAATAGGGAAAGACGATAAAATATGTTTTATTAACCTGAACAAAAACAATGCAACTCGCGGTTCTTCCCCGCGTAAGCATTGCGCACCACCTAACATCACTCCGTGCCCTCACTTTGATTGGCTAGTGCGTTTGATGCCTGTGCGCGCGTCGAAAAGAAACCTTGATGAAAACAGACGCGCCAGTGTTCACTTTGACTGAGCTTTGCTTAAGAAGAGAAAGTGTCATCCGTACAGCAGTCTCAATGGTAAGATTCTACTCGGTTTATTGTATTTGTTACGTATTTCCTATGAGTTTCAGAAATTATGATGATAACTGATCAATTAAATGAAATATATATATTAAAGATGCAATTAAAAAAAATTGAATCTTCATTGGTAATTCAACAATACTGAAGACATGCTGATAAATAATGACCACTGAGGTGTTCATTACCACCATGAAGGTGCTCAAGGCGCTGTTATTATTATCCCTGCACATTGGGCTCACAACATCTGAACATTCCTGAAACCAACTCAGCTCCCTGGGGAGTATACGCCGATGCTGCCATTTCGGCGCCAATAAACACATAACGACATCTGCCCTCACAGGTGCCCACTTACTCCTGGGTGGAGAGAGCCACATAGGGATGAAGTGACTTGCCCAGGATTGCAACATGCTGCCACCAGCTGGATTCGAACCCCTGACCCTATGATCAGAAGCTACAACCCCTTAACCACTAGGCCACATACCTCTGATACACGGACTTGTGTCAGTCTGAATGTCACCATCGAAGTTCACTGTTATTTCATTATTTATTAGTTATTTTAAAGTTCTAACTTTTGAAAAGCCTGTTTGGGACACTGAGCTGTACACCAACGCTACTTTCGACGAATCGCATGTGTACATTCATATTACAACTTGGCTACCCAATCTTTAAATGATGATTTTTAATTTCTTGATTTTTAAAGGACACGACTGTACACTTGATTTCTATGTGGTCGTGTTTATTGTTTTGCTGAACCCTGAGATAACTTTGTCCAGGAGACTTTATGACGTGATAAAAAGCCTAATTGGCATGTGTTTGCATCCGTACAAACGTCTGGTATGCATAGCTACGTGTATCCCAGTACTGGACAGCCACGCGAGTGAAATTCACAAAATCTCAATTGGTTCGATCTGTTTTGTTTATTCATAACCGTAGTGATTAATAAATAATTTTTCCAGAGTGAATTTTCCGCATCATGACGGACATCGTTCCATCACCAACCATCATCAACATTAGCATCGACAGTTACGACGACCGAATTTCCTCAACCGATTATCTGGGAGAAACCTCTCAAAGCCAAAGCTCCAAACAGACGTATTCAAAGGGCGCCTCCATGGATGGAGGTGACGCAGCTAACTCCGGAGATTGCTCGGAGATGGACAATGCTGCTGCAAAGTTAAGACGCCCTCTACTTGCTACAATTGGGGATTGCTTCATTGAGTGTGAAGCACATAAACTCGAAACAAAAGCTATTGCTGAAGTTGAACTTTCACCTGTCGAAATAGGAGGACCGCGTGACCAAAATGCAATGAATTCTAAATGTAATCGCCATGCAGAAACTGAGGAAGATGACCTGGGGTTGCTTGAGGAGGAAAATGAAATTAAAAATTTGGTTGAGTTCGTTCTTCACAAAGTTAAGATGGAGTTAATCCAGGAAAAAAACAGAAACCCACCAGTCCTTGCCGACAAGAGTCCAAAAGTAGGTTCAATGCAAAATTCCAATGGATGTAAAAGAGATTCCTCTCCCGACAATGATGAGTATGCTAGGCCTGTTACCATGGAGAAAGAGGAATACGCTGAAAGTTTTCCTCACGGCGAAAAGCGGGACGACAGAGTGAAGAACAAACCAAATGTTGAAGCAAAAGCGGGCTCGTTGAAGGAAAAGGCAGAACAACATCTTGACTCCATCATTAAGTTCATCATTGAGAAGCAATGCAGAGATTTAACATTCCAGTTTCATTCTGAACCCACCCAGGAAACAGGTGTCGGGGGAGACGTGTCGACGAGTCACATGAAGGTGGCAGGTTTGGATTTTGGATTTCACAGTGTCATGAAAAGGCTGACAGAAAAAGGGTGGAGGATAGTTGGGGAGACAAGAATGATATCGGTGAAGGGATCGAGTTTCTTGATGTTACAAACGGTGCACAGCCACTGGATATGTCGCACCAGGAGGAAGAATCAAAAGGGGTTCATCAACCTCATATGATTCCAGTTCAACATGATGAGGTAGAGGAATCACTTGACCGGGTCGAAGAAATACATGATGAGGTTAAGCAGGCACAAAAAGATGAGTTTCAAAACAGCCGTGGGGGAATCAGCGACACAAATGACGGCCAAGCATGTGACGTTGAGTTGTCACTCGAGGTGGAAAGTGCAAATTGGGTCCCAAACGAGATCAGTGCGGAGGTAAATCACTTCCTCCGGCATGGCAGTGGGGAAATGGGTGCACTAGAGGTGCCCCCTGAGGTACAAGGGGAGGCGATTAAAGATGAGGCGAAGGAGAAGAGAAAGATTGAGTATGATCAGAATTTAAAGGATGGCGAAGATGAAGATGAGAGTTGCAGTGAGGAAAATACCGATGACGATGATGACAACCTGGTGACTAGCGAGGAGGATGAATTGGATTCCATGGTTGGTTATGTTATTAATTCAGCCGGGTCATCACTGACGAATAACTTTGATGTCTTCACGTTCAAATCATTTCACATCAATGAGAACATTACTTCAAGAAAAGAAGGACCAGAAGAAGACAGTATTATCTTGGACGGTGATGCTGCCCCAGATGCAGAGGAAGTACTGTTGATCCATTCTGGTGATGAGAACTTGCGTGGAGAAACTTTAAACGTCTCGGATGTTTATGCTGGTGATGATGTAATCGAGGCCAGCGACATGTTTCGGCAGGGCACTTGCTTTGTTGCTGCTGATAGTAGTTCAGTCAAGCATGAAGACACCGAAGGTGTGAATGATAAAATTTGTGCATCATTTAAAAATGTAGACAATGTAACTCTTAGAGTTGAGGAGGCAAATGAAAGGAAGAAAACTGACGATGACAGCCTGCATGATAAGTGTTCTACCGAAAAACCTCAAGACGATAGCTTTAGCAGGTCCGTCGAGAACAGGAAACCTCTCGAGATTAAAGTGACTGATAATGCAGCTGACCTAATAGGGCTTGAGGGTACTCACGAATCGCTGGAACAAGGCAGTCCTACTTGGTCTAAGAAACAAGAAGATGCAATGTGCGTCAAGAAGCAAGAAAATGATGGAGGTCCATCGCTTACCCACACGGCCGAGGTTTTGGAAGCAAATCTGCAACTTCCCCCGATTGATACAGTTTGCAGGACCTCCAAAGTCCAATCGCAGGAGGTGACAGAGACTTTGCTTCAAAAACTTGAAAATGATTTGCCAAAATGTAATAAGGAAGAAAAAACGTCAAGCGTTACTGATATGACAAGCTCTGTGAATGGTCCGAAGGTTACACTGACTGTCAGTAACATTGCTTCAGATTCTGATGACGATGATGATTTGTATGACACTGAGAGAAAGCCTTCAGTTAACATAAACACTGCAGAAAATGACTGGGAGTGCTTAGCCATTCAACAAATCAGTAAGTCGCAGCCCCATGTGTGGTACCCGACGTACAACACGACGCATCACATTGTTGAAGACGCCTCAAAGACACAACACAACAACACTGGTAAACATCTTGATGCCGATACGTTAAAAATGAACATACCGTCAAAAGTTCCCTCAAACGAGAAGGTTACCTCAACGCACGATGTGTCAGAGAGCACTGTTACAGCTAAGTCACTTTCATCTCACAACCTAACAACTGGACAATCCATGCCATCAGTTTCCTCGCAAGCCCCCGCATCTCAACCCGACCTACCAGAGACAGAAAGCGGCATGGCGGTGATCAACGACCGACTCCGCAAGAAAATCGTACTCCTTGAGCGGCGTCTAAAGGAACTGGCCCTAGAGTTGACATTCCTTGGCGACAGGAATTGGAGACTGGAGGCATACATCGACTGTCTCATCAAAACACTGGAAGTTCTGGAAGTCACCGATGTGGTGGATCTTGATCAGAAAAAGGTGAGTAGGCACCAGTGACTCCCTCCCATGGGGAGAAATCGGTGTATTGATGGTAACCAGGGTTGGAGTGGCACGGTTCTTCAGCCTTTATGGTCTCTACTCGAAATCTATTTGCTTTGCATCAATGCATTTTTGTTGATGTGTTCAGTTACTCAAAACACTTTTCCCTTTCAGTTTCAACTAATTATAGAGCTATTTTCCCTTGTGGTTTGTCTACAGTTGCCGCTCAGTCTTTTCAAAGTCAAAGTCAAAGCTGGCTACAAGTTGGGCTCCTATAACGGCATCCCGTCCCGTGCACTGCAGAGCTATAAAAAGGAGGGTCGGCAACCACCTTATGTCGACCTTAGCGGATGGGGAGATACGGATAAACCCACCCAGAGACCAGGTACATACACTGTATCAGTGTTGAGGCTTAATACATCCCATATATTCGTTACCTCGACAACAGGGTATACAACCAATATTTTTGTTATAACATTTTTACTAAACAGACCTTTTCTCGTGTTATTACTAGTTTTTCTGTAAAAAATTGTCTTCTTTTGTGATAGAAGTGCCACACAGAGAGACATAGGACATTACATTTCTCGATCACAAAATATTTCCTCTCTCATTTTTCCCCTGTAACTTGTACTTCAGATCTTATTGATCCTACACCTTTGCCATCCTGTGATGATGATGTTGGTCTAAGTGTATCTCAGATGTACCACTATGAATCACAATTGGAGGAGATCTCCATTCAGAACCAGATCCTTGAGGGACAGCTCCAGGAAGCCAACGAGCTAGTTCAGTCCATGATGGGCGAGAGCAGCGCGGACGAAAGGCAAACAGGACCTCAGGACCTGCACCAAGCAAAGCAGCAAAAAGAGCAAGGGATACAGACACGTCCACACGATACAAGTACCCTGCCTCAGAATGTTGGAGTGCTTCAGCAACAGGTGCAGGATCTGCGTGACGAGTATCATCAAGGAGGTCAGGAGTACTGGCAGCAACCTCAACAAGAGCAGCAGCAGCAATTATTCTTGACAGGTGTCATGCCGCAGATCCAAACACAGCCCGAGTGTTATGCCATGCATGAGGGGGAACAGTACTCTCTTCCACAGCAGCAGTTACAACACTACCAGCTTCAGCACTGTCAGCCTGTAGTGCAACCCCAGCAGCAGCAACTGCAGCAACCGCAGCAGCAGGCATGGAACCCTCAAGCAGTTCAGGAGGAGACGGTGTTACCGAACTGCTGTGATTGGGAATCGAACGAGAAACTGTCTTTGCATGACCCGCTGGAATGGCCGACACTTACTGAGTCGCAGGCCCAAGTTACCGGCCGTTCCCAAACTGGAACCGGTACCGAAGCGGGACCACGTCCACTGCAGCTCCAAACTCAGCCATTTGCGACCACTGGCCCTGCTTCTCACGTCTCAGAATCATCTCCAACCGTTTTGTCTAATCCTGTGAAGGACAAATCGACCCTTCACTCATCATTGGAACAACCGGCTAGTAGCGGCTCGATTCCAAATCACGAGAATCGATGCAAGGCGTCGTGTTACCATGACAACAACCCTAAAGAAGCATCCAGCAGCGGTACCGTTTCAAGCCAAAGTTTTTACAGGGGGCGTCGATTTGAAAGTGACAGTAGAGGACAGCCGCGATACAACCACCGTTCACTTGAGCAGAGCTTGAGTGGTATCGATACTTTGCCCAGAGGCCACCGGCTGGAAGAATCGATGAGATTCGAGCATTGGGATCCACACGTCGATCGTCTCTCCTCATTAATTCCTGGCGAGTTCCCTGTAGATCTTCATGGCGAAGCCTGGCGAAAGGAAAGATCGCCCTACCATGATGTCCGAAATGCACCGTCCCGCCACCCACTACCCTTCCAGCGGAATCTAGACCGCAGTCGCCGCTTCTTCCACTGTGACTCTGTCCTGGACTCATACTGTCCGGATTTTTCAAACTTCCAGCACGCTCCAACCTTCAAAGAAGACCTCGGTGAGACTATATCAGCCTCCAACTCACAGTTCATGCTTAGTAATGGATACGCATTCGACAAGTTCCCGAGCCCTCCAAGCACACGCGGATTCTCTTCTCTAGGTAGTTCAACGAGTACTGGTGCCCTACCGTATCCCAGACAACATAAACGACAATCGACTCCAACGAGACGAGGCAAGCCATGGACCAGGGCGGGAAGCTGCACTTCTCCACTGAGATCACGCCATAACCCGGAGGTGACGCTGAGCGATTCAAAATGAAATAACAGTTTGGAATATTTTCAACAACAAGGGAGATCTGTTTTGGGGACTGCTAAGGCGAATTGTCGCTAATAGAGCTTAGGATTTGGAATGAGAGACATGTACGTTGTATAATATCAGGCTGTTTGACTGATTTGACAAGGAGGGCGACTCTGTCAGCTTGATACCCTCTTTTGTCAGATAAAAAGACTTGCAGGATATAACCTAAAAACAGAACTGAATTGTTTTTCTTACAACCGGTTACCTACAAGTTCGGAATAATCTACATGTGGTTTGGAACAAGAAGCTTTGTATAACTGGAAGAAAACAATTTCAAAATAACAGTAAACAGAAAGTTATAAATCACAATTTGTTCAAAGAATCGATGTCTGGATACTCAACAAAACTTGCAGCGTATGAAAACTTGTAACACATAAATGGCATGCGAAGCTAGTTTCTTAAGAACAAAGTCTTCATTTACTGCTTCTTATAACAATGTGGAATTTTTTCAAACAGGTTTTTCAGATTTATTTATTTATCTAATAACATTTATTTCACACTCTAAATAATTTCACACGAAATAAGGAAAACCTACTTTAAGATAACGAAGGAGATCTGATGCTAAGAGAAAAAGCTTTCATTAATGTTCTCAGGAATCGGTGGTGGATGATCGTTTTATTTTTCTGTCTCAGAGAAATGGAAGAATAAACGTCTTAAATTATCTTTGAGTCGGCCTATGTTTAGGTGAAGAAGATTGGGCATGTTTAATTAACTGTTGTGTTATTACGATGCACAGTACAATTCCATCCCCATAAAAATGCCACCCAAAGACACAAGTTAAAGGCGACGACTTTCGGCCGCGCGGCCCAGTGTATATACAGCGCCATCTATCGACTTTCGAATACATATGTCGTATGTGTGTCGTCGGTCATCTCAAGATTTTGTACTTAACCGGTTTCCTTATAAATAATGTATTTCTGGATTTTCGAAATGGTGGCGGGAAGGTCGAATTGTGTGAGGAATTCGAGGTGATACGCCTTTGACAGTTGAATTTCGTGCTATTGGCACCACATTTTGAACAAAAATGACTTTTCAAGACTTATAACTTGTATAACAAAACTTCATCGGAGGCAGCTATAGTGGTGCACTGAACTAATTCAAGCTCCATTGAAAGCGGTGTAAAATCAACAAAGTTTGGAGCCCCACTGCGGGCAACCGGAGTCCCTGAGGCTTCTCGTCAAACAAAAAACAATGTGCTGATTGGTCCTTCGGATTTCATTTGATTTTCAAATTTCAGTAGGTTAATCGATTTTTTTTAATTATCCGCCAAGAACAAACTCACCCCCAAAAGTGAACGTTCCCAAGTCTTCTCAGCTCACTCTTTATCTCGCCTTTACTCCTGTATCTATTCATGTTACTGCGGCTCACTTTCACGGTCTTCAACTCTTTACGTCTGTTTTGGATGTTCAGTCTTGTTTTCACTGTTTGTCGCGTTTTTCTTGTCTGTTTTCAGTGTTTCGTCCCTAGTCTAATTGTGTGTATAGGCTGTTCTCTACAAACCCTCGCTTATGAACAGCCTCATACTTTCTATCTTATAAAGTCTTCTCTACTTTCTCTTATATTGTATTCATGGCTCGTATTTATTTTACGTGTATTCTTTGATTCGTGTGTTAATGAAAGCAGGGGAATAAATGTTATTTAATTTGAATAGAGATGATGATCCTGGGCCATACTTACACAACCCTACAATTTCTTGGCCCACACAGACTCCTCTTTTGACCGGAGTACTTTTCAAGCGCCTCTGCCTGGCGAAGAATTTTCGTTGCATCCCTTGTACGCTACTATACGTCACGAGTTTGGCCCCATGGTATTATGTTTCTCGCAGGGGCGTAGTATTTTGTTTTAAATACTACCACTGGTCTCTGTTTTACACAACTTAGCATTCAGTGAAGAAGAGTGAATAATAAAGGCTACAAAATGTGAAAGAAAATGAACAAAATAACCAACTAATGCTGAAAACAACTTGATCCACACGGGTCACGGCCACTGCGAGAGTTTCGTCTTGGAGAATGGGGCACTCCCTCTCCCATTAAATTCAATGAAATTAATTGGCAATACTCCAAACAAATGAAAAAAATTGGAAGAATCTCCAGAGCAAAAACAAGCTCCCTGGACGTACGTACATTATTTCATATAATTATTATAAATATTAATTTACAAGGAAACAACTCATTTATGCTTCGCTCTTTGCAGGAACGCGTGTTTATTAATTCAGAGTTGGGCATGCATACTCATCTAGTATATCTTATGAGATCATTCTTGGTCCCTGGGAGTTAATTAAATAATTTGACCTTTCTGAGATATCGCCGAGCAATGCTGCTATACTCGAATGCACAAGCTGTGCACAGGCGAGGTAATTCATGTACATGTACATGTATATGTACGTGCATAACGTGCACTTCATGGGAAAAAAAGTAAACACAATTTGTATTGTTCCTAAACCTTACTATTATTTTGTTACGTAAACTGGACACGGTACCAGACTAGACCACAGGCTTCCCCGGTGGTATATTATTAAATTTGCATACGCAGACGTCATCAGAAGTAGCCAATGAGATGGCGACTATTAGCCATGTGATCATTGTAATTTCACGAGCAGCTCACTCAAGGTCGCATCACGCAAAATCATAACAACACTATTTTGAAATCAGTCCGAAAGAAACTACATACATTTCGGGGTAAAATACTCCCCTTTCCCCCTTAGTTTCCTCTTGTGTGTTAACCCAAGGTCACAGTGGAGACTCTATAGGGTAAGTCTCTAGGAGAGAAGGGGATTCTGCCGACCGAAACCGGAGAAATGGAGGTGGACGCACAGGTTGTGGATTTCGTCGAGCAAAATGGAGACTTGTCGAACGACGATGCAGACACCAACAACAACCCGTCTGGAGAAGGTGATGGTATGAACGGCGGTCCTCTCTCCGCTCTCGAGGGCAGAATCACCCGAAAGGCCAAACGTAGACTCCGTAAGAGCCCCTCCAAGGAAACTCCACCGGTACCCATGAACGGCGTTGTAGCCGTTTCTCAGCGGGAGAAGAATATGCGAAAGTCTCGCAGTGGACGAGGCCGTGGACTCCCCAAAAAGGGTAAGCACCCTTTTCAGGTTTGTTGGGCAATCAAACAGTGTTTTCAGTACAAACAATCAATGCCTTCCTTCTCTTTGACGATATGTTTAAGGTTACAGCTTGCTCTTAAAGCATGAGGAAAGAAAACTGTTTAAATTAAAGACTATAAATAGATGGAGTTGCATCAATATCAAAGGAAAAAACTTAGACCACGGGGCTGCATTTTTGTGTCCAGTGTATTGTCTGGGGGTGTGTTTATGTTGATCGGCGCTGATTGGCTGAACTGTTGTAGCAAGCGTAGATGGTTATGTAATGTTACATAATAACTTCTTGTTTGGCCTCCTTTAATTTAAATTGTGTGTACTGTGTAGTGTTATGTAAAGGTTTAAAGCTTTGCATATAACTGTTAGGGACGACCTCATGTTTGCTTGATTGTTCTGACAGAGCAGAGAGGCTGAGATATAGCTTTCACCCACATGTTGGGGACAAGCTGAGGCTTGAATATACATGTATTAGCTTTGTTCATCCATGAAGGAATTGTGCAAACTGAAATTCCTTATTCCTGAAAGAAAATTGCATTATCTGAGTTGTTCCCCTTTTGTTTTGATCCATGAATAGTTAATGACTAGCTCATGGATCCAGTGGATGATAAAAGAGCATTGTGAAGAGATTAACTGAGGCCCTAGGCTTTTTGTTAGTAATAAAAGCATTTCATGAGTTCACAATGCAGAGTAAGACCCCCCCCAAAAAATCTGCAGTTTCTGGTCAGGAGCTGGCCCCAAAAGTCGTTTTATACCAAATTTTATTTTGCCCTGTTTTTCACACTCGCTGGCTGTGAATTCTCTGAAACTGAGAAATAAGTAAAAATAAGAATACATTAGGACTTTAAACCTGTTCATTCACCCGTTGAAAGGATTGTTGTAAAAGACACAAAATGCCATCATTGACACTGAATATGTGGAGTTTTTCCCCTTTATGGGGGGTGGTATGCAATGTTGGAAAATACTTGTACATTAAAATGTATCCACAATTGTTTTAGTTTTAATAACATAGGGTGGTTGATCTGGGGTATAGAATGTCTTACTAGTGTGATTTATATCATGGAGGGTTAGATTGAAGATGATTTAGGTAAATCGTTGACCTCAGCGTAACAGGATCTTGAAACACTGATGAGTGTTGTGGCTTTGCCATCACTGCATTTTACTTATTTGTTGTGATAATGCATGCATGCTACAAAAAGTACATGAATCCAGAATTTTTTAGATTTTTTGGTCAAACCGTGTCCTATCTTGTTCAGTTGCAACTTGCAACAGGTGTTAGTATTTTAGGTGCAAATACACGCACTACATGTAATACATGATGCATCAACACATCCTGAGTATGACTCATGCTGTTTTCAAAATATTCCTGATTGGATATTATTTGTAAACAAAAAAAATCAATATCACTTGGTTTTTACTAATCAATAATGAATTGTCTGCAGAGCTACCCTGGGATTCACAAACAAGTGTTGTAATTGTCATTCATGAATCATACTAATGCTACTTGTATATTGTCTGCCCTTTCTTTTGATTGAAGAAGGGTTCTGCAATGACTACTCGGATGAATTTTCCTGATCTGTTAGCTCCTGCCTTTAAAAAAGTGTAATTTAGCACAAATCATGAAGAGTGTAAACATTGCAGCACTGTGCACAATATGAGGCCAACTTACAGTTGATAGCATTGACATGCATGTATCACTAAAAATATTCCCAGGCCTGGCCACACGGAGTCATTTGGAATTTCCTTTTTAAAAACGTGCAGTCATTTCATACGCGTTCTGTTTACACAGTTTTGAACCTGAAACTCATCCTGTGTGGACATGTATCAAGGCCAGCAACAATATTGAATGAATTTAGTAATGCTGGTCCCCTGATTCCATGTCCAGGGTTTTACTTACCCCCCCCCCTGGTATTTTCAGCTCTTGGAGCCGTAACAAGTAACAAGTCCACTTCAAAATAACTTTATGTATTCAGAGAAATAATTTGTAGAATTAGTGCTTGCTGAGTGTAATAAACTGATGGAGGTAATACATGTCAGTTTGCACATACATGTACATGTAACTTTGTGGGATTGGTTATTGACAGAGTGGGTCGTGACCCTTGTGGACCTTGGCCTATTGCTACATTTATGCATGTATGCTGCAGCATTGCATGATGCAATTGTTTTCTTTTATTAAACCTCCATCTGCTGCAACCGTCAAAAACAGTCAAATATTCCTTCTACTCGATGTGCCCCAGTACACACTGTGCAGACTTATATGGGAAATTTGACTGATATGACAACTGTGTCAAGAATGTATCTGTGCATAGGAGGATTAGTGACAGTTTTAGTGCACATGTACATACAACTTGCAAATACTTACTTCTAAAATGGACCAATTTAGACATTAGATAGAGACATTAAGACAATATTTGCCCTTAGAAGCAAAATGTATCTACCGTAATTTCAAGTGTAAAAATGAAAAATCTCATGTACTGTTTCCACTAAAAAGTGACATTCTTTGAAGTCAATCTCATAGTTTGTTTTCTGGTCTGTTTTTTGTCTATAAGTGTTTAACCTCTTGATCTTATCAACTTTGGATTGAATATGTTTTTGATTTTGTAAGAGACTTTCAGTGAACCTAAAAAGGGAACATACATGTCTTGTGATGAAAGACCCGTGCTGATTGGTATAAGAGGAACAAGGCAAACTTCTCATCTTACATTGGGTACTGCAGAGCTTCCATAGCAGTTTTGTACTTGTTCTCTTGGCAGGTGGAGCTGGTGGTAAGGGGACTTGGGGTCCCCCTGGCTTGTATGAGGAGAATGATGCTAACTGCCAAGATGTTAATGATCCTAACTATGATTCGGATGCACAGGTTAGTTGTGTACACGTAGAAACTGTCCACATGGCTGTGATGGTTGAGGGTGAGGGCATATTCTGCTATATTTGTTTAGCATATGACTAGATTTCTTGCACTTAATGTAAGGTATGTGAAAGTGGAATAGTTTGAAATTGAATGGCTCTCAGCTACATTAGTTTCAGAAATACAAAAAACTTCTCAATAGCAATTTTACTGTGAGTGTTGTTTCTAAAGTTCAGATAGAAAGGTAAAATAAATCAGCCGACTATGATGTTTTGTCATTCTTGTCAGCATCTATTTAAGGAAGATAATTCCTTTGAAACAGAATCCAGCTTGTGAATCACCCCTGTAAATTCTATACTAGTTTTGTCAGTTTCTGGAATTATTTGCTATTTCTGACACTTTCTTAAATTAAGTAGCAAAATTTAATTGGAAGAAGTTGCTATGGATTTGGCTTTGTTACACAGCTCTTTTGTTAGATATTAATGAACTGGCAAATTTTCAGCTCAGGTTTAATTAGAATTTATCATCCATATCCATTCTGCATTCGGTTTGACCCACTTAAATTATCAGCTTTTAACTCCAACACATCTGGTGGTGTCTGCTGATTCCCAGGCCTTAGCAGCCATGATGTTGACATTGTTCCCTGTCCAAGTCTGTTACTCATTCACACAAGAGGGTACAAAGGTTATTGCAGCACAATAATCAGCACGATGGAAATTTACTAGGTGTAAATGAAATGGTTAGCTATTTCTAGCATTTCAGAGAGCATTGTTTATGAAATACAGTAGTTTTTCCTACATGACTTTTAACTCTTGGGTGTGTGTTAGAACATTTAAAATTGCAAAATTAAACCCACAATTACAACAAACAGGAACTGCTGAACCTAACACTGAGGTGGGGATTAACACATGTACAGTACATGTAGGCCTACCTGTACTCTGTACTTGTGCAGACTTGTATTCGAACAGCTCCTTTGTATTTTGTATATGAGGTATGGAATGGATCTGTGTGGGCGGCTTGTCGATGCATAACAGAGTAACAAAAGGCTGCTTATTGTGCACAATTTACTTACTGGTTAGAGTTTACTGCACTAATATTCAGGGATTATGCAGATATGCATTGAGTAGTTGTGTGCTGAATTCATACAAATCATAGGTAGAAGATCCAAGTCTGACATTCCAGAATCACCCTTTTTCAGCTGACCTTGCTATTGCCTGTAGCTTTAATAGTTTCAGTGATTATTTTGACTAAAATTCAAAGTCTGTGACCCATGGAAACAAGAAATCAGCATTATCATTTCATATTATAAGTAGTAATAGCAGGCCTGTGGGCAATTAGGAACCACTGTTTGTGCTAGTATAAAACCAAGGTTTTGTTTATAAGCTATGAAGCCATGGATAAAACAACAATTACCAAGACTGAATTATATAAACTGTAATCTAAAAGCAGGTGCTGTCAAAGCAAAGGTCAGTGGTCTGTCTCCACAGGGCCTAGCTAATTAAAATAATCAAGGTTTGGAACATGACTTGTGGGCAAACAAGAAACCAAAAATTTGCCATGAAGGAAAAACAGGCCTACATGTACATGTACCTGTAACTAAGAATTTCCAAAACTTTAATTGGATGTCACATAAAATGTGTGTTGATTGATTTACACATTAATGAACAGAAAAATAAGTAAAAGAAAACAAAACTTGAATTAACAGAAACTGAATAGAATTAAAAGATTCAAAAGACATTATTGTATTCATTTAACTTTATTGAAATAAATGATTTGGTGCATGGCTGTATGGAGACAGACAAGACAAAACTTAAGCCATACATATTTGTTATCAGCTCACTGCACTCAAAATGAATTAGTTTTTTGGCCCCTGCCAAGACTACAGATACCCCCCTGTCAAGATTGCTGTATATTTTTCCAGGAAGTTGTAGGTCAACCCTTTGACCTTACACTTCCAGAAACTTTATCCCAGTCTGCCATGACCACATGACAATTAAATTAGTGTGACTCACTGCTGTTAAATGTAGATTGTATGCTAAGATTGAATTCCCAGTTGTGATTTGGTTTATGTAAATCATAAGGCTGTATCAAAAATCATTGAAAAAAGGGTCATCGAATTTGATGAAGGGTTGAAGTCACTGGCAAACACTTAATTCATGAACATTGAAGTTTAAACTCAGACTGTGGTTTTTGAAAGTTGAACCCAAAAAGCAACATTCAAAATGGAGTTAAGATAAATATGTGGAAATTAAAAATTAAACTATATCAAAATTTGAACGTGTAGTTACGTAGTATAAGAAAATGTGTAGTCTTTTAGACTTTATAGTAATATATTACATGCAGTAGGTCTGACAAATTAGTGTTTAGGATTCTCTGTGACGTTTGTGTTTTGTGCTTGGAGCTCGTGAAAAAGTGTTGACACAGGGTTATGGGAAATGAGTGATGATATTGGCGTATTCAATTTCCTGTCTGCATATGGGCAGTACCGATATGGTAGTTTACAGTTGATATGTGTGTGTCTTGCTTTGCAGGCAGAGATTGCCTTGAAGGCCATCACTCCCAAACTAAGGGGGGAGGAGCTTCAAGACATGGTGGAACCAATCATACAGGAGTACTTTGAACATGGAGACACTGATGAAGTGGCTGTAAGAGATTATCTGAGCCACTGCAGGAATGTATCTAATAATTCCTTCAAGACAAACAAATTGGAGTTTATAAACTGAATTATCCAGGACAGATGAGTAATAAATATAATATCAGCAGAAAATTAATAAAGCACGCAGTATCTAACGGTAGTTGTCAGTTGGAAGGCCTTGATAATTATATTATCATCCCTGCTAATAGGGCTCTCAATATCTGAACATAAGCATGTTAGTAAGACTGTCTCAATTCCTTAGGGAGTACATAGGGAGCTGCCATATCAGATGCAAGCAGCCTAACCCTATCTGCCCTCACAGGTACCCATCTACTCCTGGGTAGAGAGAGGCACATATTGATGAAGTTTGCCTAAGGTCACAGCATGTAATCAATGGCCAGAATTCGAACCCTCGACCCTATGATCAGAAGTTAGAAACCTTAACCACTAGGCCACACGTATACATCCCCAAAGTAGTGTTGCTGCTCCCAGACCTGCCTTAGGCTTGCTACATTAATAATGCAGATCGTCTTGCCAAAAGTGTCATTTGCCAAGTGCCCATCGTTCAAGACCTGTGTTATAATTATTGCCAGAGTGCGTTGTAATTCTTGAAAAAAAGGTTTCATGTTTTCTTGCAGGCATGTCTGTCTCAGCTAAACATTGATGGCTCTGACCGTCACGAAGTCGCTTCTGTTGCTGTTACCCTGGCTATGGAGAAAAAGGACCCCGAGAAGGAAATGACCTCTGTGCTTCTATCTGACCTCTATGGGTTAAAGGTTGTGTCTGAGATAGAGCTGGAGGCTGCTTTTGAGAATTTGCTTCACAGCTTGCCTGATCTCAGCCTGGATACTCCGGAGGCTCCTTCTGTAAGTTCTTTCAGTGCATTTGTAGCAAATTTTATTTCAGAATAGGTACTGCACTTAGAAAAGAGAAGCAAAACATAGTACCAGAAACCTTTATAAAGTCAAAGGTAATTTCATTATTTCTTGTCTATTTCACTTATAGAACGGGTGTCGCCCTTATACTTAACGTATATATTGATAAACACTGTATGCTCAGTGCTTGTCCAAGAGCTTGCGAAAAAATTCACAAGCTTACTCGGATGGGACTTGAACCCATGACCTCCTGCTTACTAGTGCAGACGTCTTAACCACTTGACCACTGAGCTTGCCGTGGTCGGCTGGCCTGTCCGAGTCAGGTGAAGCAGCGGGTACCACGAACTATTTTCCCACCAGAGAAAGCTTGTGAATTTTTTCGCAAGCTCTTGGACAAGCACTGAGCATACAGTGTTTATCAATATATACATTGGATATAAGGGCAAAACCTGTTATATAAATTAACATCTCCCCAACGCAGAAATACATCTTGAAAATTGTCTTTTTCACTTGTCCGTAATGAATGCATCATCAGGAGAAGTGAAAAACCTTCACCAGTAGCTTTATTAGTAAATACTTATTTTGAGATTTTTAAACCCATAGACTATCCTAAGTGTGAAACGAAAGTCACGCTGTTGACGAGTGTGATTCTGTAGGGTCATATTTAGCCTCAAATATGATATTTCACACCTTGCTTTGAGCAAACAGGATGATCGTGTGTCACCCACACATTTCATTTCACATTCAGCACATTCTTGTGGCTTCACATTTGTCATTGTGGTGTGATTTATTGGTTAAAATGAGTGAGATACTGTGTTATGTGAGCAGGGACAAAGTTATTGAATGTACCATATTGTACTCTCACTTGACTGTTTTGTCTCTTAAAGGTTATCCATTTTGTGGATTGATGCTTTGACTTTTTAAGTCTTTGAAAGCAATCAGCGCCAGTCAACTGTCAGTGTATACTTTCTTATCTCAAATCTTTTGAAAAAATAAAGCATTCAATGATCAAATATTCAGACAAAATTTCAAACAAGGATTGGGAGACACGATCAAATAAATAATTCAAACCTGTCATACTCCTCTTGTTAATGAAAATCTTGAACAAATCTCGCTGTGTAGTGCTTAATACAGAGTGCAGGCATTCCTTATGAAACTTCAGAATTTTTCTGGAAATTTAATTTAAAATACACCTTGTATTTGATGTGTTATTACTTCAACCCCCAAGACATAACCCGTTCATTTGGGAGGAAATACTGAAAAATCTGCTCTTCCCAGCCTCTTGACCATGATATCATGAGAACCAAGTCTTTTTGTACCAGTTATTCACCAGTTAACGTCAGATTTTCTTACCCAGAAAGCTGCCGGTGGGGGTTTACCCACAGATTCTTCAACTTTACAATTGTGCTTTGATCCAACCAAGCACGATGCGTTGATACATCAACCGCGGAAATAAAAAAGAATTCTTAAACAAGTTTGGTGCACGTCCTCGGGGGGGAACAAATACGAAAATTTATGTCTGTTTACACGTCATCCGGCATCAAGTGGTTAAATGTGATGCTCAGTTTTTTGTTTGATTTATCATCAGGCTCTTGGCAAGTTCATTGCTCGCGCCATCGCTGATGACTGCCTTGCCCCCAGATTTGTGCAGAAGTTCAAGGAGGACCTCCATGAAGATCACATGAGGTATGCAGGATCCAAGAGTGTTGTATTCAGTGAAACAGTGAAAAAGAAAGGTTACTCTCAAATGACATCACTTTTATGGACAAAAGTGCACAGCCAGGTCTGAGGTTAGAATTTTTTTCAGTGGCTATGACTGTTTACAACAGCATGCCAAATAGGAGTGGCTTGGCAATATTTCAAATTGCTGTATCAGGGCTTGGCTGTAAGATGAGTTGTTACTGAGCACGACCTGAGAGCATACACAAGTCATGACGATCATAACAGTGATTTGGGTGACACACATAATGGTTAGCTTTTTTTTGACAATTTGCTTCAAAGCCACCGGGCTTTGGATGGTGCTGACCTGCTGTTGAACATGAAGCATGGTATGCTGAAGCTGGATAATGTCTGGGGAGTTGGAGGCGGCCGTAGACCTGTCAAAGTACTCATCAAAAAGGTAGGAATGAACTTTGTTGAAATTATGAGGAAAGTGAATTCTGTTGTTGGCGTGGAAAATGAAGGTGAAATGCAATTTTGCTTGGTAATGAGTTTTTTTCGTGAATTAAGATGTGACAGTTGGTTTTTAATACTCTGTACTGGGAGAATGTGAAGACATATCAAACATTATAGTCTGTTCTTGATATTGT